ATGTATGTATAATATGCATATGTATGGATGATATAATAGCTCTGATCCAATACTTTTCGTGTAAAATCCTGGAAAAAGGTCAAACAGCAAAATCACTCTCTCAAGTGAGAGTAAAAAGTGAGTAACAGCAAAACGTACGGAACAAAAAAGCATCGGGTAAAATCCTGCAACTTCCATCTCTACACAACTCTCCCAAAAATCGCTCTCATTTTCATGAACCACAGATTATATTCCGAAAAGAAAAACTAAATTTAGTAATATATACAAATAGAAATGCTCAATCTATAACCTCAAAAACAATAACTGATGCGGTGTTTCCAAGATATTTTAACACTCAAGGTATATACACACAAGTATATACAAGTATCATATTTTAGCAATCATACCGATAATTTCATGTATTAAAGGGATTAAAAATGAAAATGAATAAAAAAATAAATCAATTAATCAAATGAATAAAATTAGGTGAAATTAATGTTTAATTTCTAACCTAACCTACATTTGTATGTATGTAACTGAATCGCCTAATAATAGCTTTACGTATAAAAAGATTATCCTAATTTTCGAGCTTAACTCCCTAATCTGTTATTATAAAAAGAGATTAGCCATGCAAAATTATGATTAAAAATATCTAAGATTAAACCGATAACTTTTTGGTGTCCAACCTAGTTTTATCGATTATACTTGCGAAGAAGAGGAGGAATGTCAAATGTTAAAGTAAACAAAAATTGACGCTAGTAAGGAAAATAGGTTTGTAAAAGTATTTTTAATAAAATATTCAGTTAAAATATATTTAAATGGCATAATATGTGTTGCAGAAATAAGTGACCACGGTGGCACAGAGAAGAAGTTTGACTTTTCCTCGAGTTGTGTGAATAATAAGCACAACCAATTTGACGGCTAACGAGCTTTGATTGAGATTATATTTATATGTAAACGTACTTTTATGCTTTGCCGTTCGCATATGTTTACACATCAAATTTCATGAGTACCTAGTACTCACGCCTTTTTTTTAATCCCTTTTCAATAAAACATGGACCGATTTGAAGTATATAACTTCGTCAAATCTAGAAATGTTATCTCCGATAAATAGGGGC